TCCAGAACCCGCTCCGGGCCCGGATGGACCCACGCTGGCCAGCGGCGCCCCGTGTGGATTAGGATCGGGGTGTCTGGTCGGTGGGGATGCCAGAGACAGAGGCCAAGGAGAGCCCTGGGGAGACCGGGAGGAGATGGGGCAGAAGCGAGGGGGCGTCCACCGTGGGAAACGTTTCTGAATCAGTGAAGGAGGGTCCTCGGGAGGTTTGGCCGGGCGGGGGGGGAGGGGAAGAGCGGGGGGCTGGGCGGGAACCTCTCACCCTTCAGGAGCGAGAGGAGGAAGCCAGCACCGAGCTTCCTCATGGCCCAGACGGTCCGCCCGCGTTCCCCGGACCAAAGCGGCCTCTAACGGGCCAAGCCAGAGAGCGCAGCGGCTGCGGCCAGCAGAGGGGAGCAAGGGGGCTGCTCTGACGTCACAGATGCCCGGGGGCGGGGCCTCCGAAACTGACGTGGGAGTCCTCGTGGGTCCAATTCCAGTTCGGGAGGATAATGATTAAGGTACCACTGACGCTGTATCTTTTTTTTTTTTTAAGCACAAAAACCCAAACATTTATTAGGCATCTATCTACTCATTACAGGTGCTAGGCACTTTTTTTTTAGGTGCCTGAGATACATCAGTGATAAAATGGTCCCTGTCCAATGGAGTGAATATAAATGTCTCCAGGAACAGCACTGAAGAGAATATTCCCCTTTATGCGCCTGTAGGTTTTATTTTCAGTTATTACAGTGTGTACCTCCAACACAGATCGCAATTGTTTACATGTCTGGGTTCCCTTCCTGGACTGCAGGCTTTGGGATGGCAGGGGTGTCATAGCTTATTCTTCTGACACATGGACGGCATTCAGTAAATGGCAGTAAAATGAACCAAGGAAACTGGACTGCCCAACAGGCTCTCGACGTCTAATATCTGAGGGAGATTGTGCTTATCTTGGTCTCAGAGGAAAATCGGTGTGTTTTTTCCCCAAATATCTTTTAAAAAAATTTTAATGAATTTATTGGGGTGCCATTGGTTAATAAAATTAGATAGGTTCCAAGTATACAATTCTATAGTATATCACCTGTACAGTGGGGCCTTGACTTACGAGTGTCCCGACTAACGAGTTTTTCGAGATACAAGCCGGAGCCGTCTCTCGGCCGATTTTTTGCTTTGAGTTGCGAGCTAAAATTTGGGTTACGAGCCAGCTTCAGATACCCCACCGCTAGTTGGCGCAGCGAACGTCACAGTGCTCGTTCACTTTTTTTTTTTTTTTTAATATATTTTATTGATTTTTTACAGAGAGGAAGGGAGGGAGGTAGAGAGTTAGAAACATCGATGAGAGAGAAACATCGATCAGCTGCCTCCTGCACACCTCCCACCGGGAATGTGCCCGCAACCAATGTACATGCCCTTGACCGGAATCAACCCGGGACCCTTCAGTCCACAGGCCGACGCTCTATCCACTGAGCCAAACCGGTTTTGGCATCACTCGTTCACTTTTTGATTTGACATACGAGTAATTTGAATTACGAGCTCCGTCACAGAACGAATTAAACTCGTAAGTCAAGGCCCCACTGTATATTGTATTGTGTGTTCACTACCCCAAGTTAAGTCTCTTTTGTCACCATTTACCCACCCTTTACCTTCTGCGCCCCTTTTCCCTCTTGTATCACCATACTGTTGTCTGCTTTTTTCCCCCTTAATCCCCTTGCCTGCCTTTTTCACTCAGCCCCCAACCCCCTTCCTTCTGACAGCTGTCAGTCTGAACTCTGTATCTATAAGTCTGTTTCAATTTTTTTTGTTTATTTTGTTTATTAGATTCTACATATAAGTGAGATTATATAGTATTTGTCTTTCTCTGACTGGCTTATTTCACTTAGCTAATACTCTCCAGGCCCATCCATGCTATAGCAAAAGGTAAGATTTCCTTTTTATTTATGTTAATCTTTACCAGAGGGTATTTTTTCCATTGCTTTTCAGAGAGAGTGAAAGGAGGGAGGAAGGGAAAGGGAGGGAGGGAGGAAAATATTGATGTGAGACACATCAATTGGTTGCCTCCCAAATGTGTAGAGACCAGGGGAGTGGGGAGTGAACTAGCAACCCAGGTACATGCCCTTGACCAAGAATTGAACCCAAGACCCTTGTGCGTGACCGATGCTCTAACCACTGAACACACCAGCCAGGGAAAGATTTCCTTCTTTTTTTACAGCCGAGTAGTATTCCATTGTGTAAATGTGCCACAGCTATTTTTCCACTCATCCATGGATGGTCACTTGGGTTGCTTCCAAATCTTAGCTATTGTAAATAATGCTGCAATGAACACAGGGGTGCAAATATTCTTTTGAATTAGTGTTTCAGGTTCCTTCAGATATTTTCTCAGAAGTGGAATCACTGGGTCATAAGACAGTTCCATTTTATTTTTTGAGGAAACTCCCTACTGTATCTACAGTGGCAGCACCAATTGGCATTCCCACCAACAATGCACAAGGGTTCCCTTTTCTCCACATCCTTGCTAACACTTTTTTGTTGATTTATTTTATTTTATATTTTATTGATTTTTTTACAGAGAGGAAGGGAGAGAGATAGAAATGTCGATGAGAGAGAAAAATCAATCAGCTGCCTCCTGCACACCTACTGGGATGTGCCCGCAACCAAGGTACATGCCCTTGACCGGAATTGAACCTGGGACCCTTCAGTCTGCAGGCCGACACTCTATCCATTGAGCCAAACCGGTTAGGGTGTTTGTTGATTTATTGATGACAGCCATTTGACAGGTGTGAGGTGTTATCTCCACTGTTTTTTATTTGTGTTTCTTGATGATTAGTGACATTGAACATCTTTTCATATGTCCATTGGCCATCTTATGCCCCCTTATTGGTGAATATGTTCTCCATTCAGTGGGTTCTTTTTATGTTGTTGATGGCTTCCTTTGCTGTGCAAAACCTTTTTAGTTTGATGTGGTCCCATTTGTTTTTTCCTTTTGTTTCCTTTGCCCAAGGAGATACATCAGAAACAATATTGCTATGTGAAATGTTTGAAATTTTACTACATCCCCCCTACTTAGGACTGAGCCCACAACCTGGGCATGTGCCCTGAGCTGGAATTGAACCAGTGACTTCCTGGTATATGGGACCACACTCAACGGAGCCACACTGGCCAGGCTCAACTGTTACTGTTTTATTTTTTTTAGATTTTTTTTTTATTGCTTTTAGAGGAAGGGAGAGGGAGAGATAGAAACATCAATGATGAGAGAGAATCATTGATTGGCTGCCTCCTGCACACCCCCTACTGGGGATTGAGCCTGCAATCCAGGCATGTGCCTTTGACCGGAATCAAACCTAGGACCCTTCAGTCCACAGGCTGACGCTCTATCCACTGAGCCAAACTGGCTAGGGCACTGTTACTATTTTTTAAAGTAACATGCTGTTTTGATTACTATGGCTTTGTAGTATACTTTGATATCAGGTAGTGTGATTCCTCCAACTTTGTTCTTCGTTCTCAAGATTGCTGTTGCTATTTGGGTTCTTTTGTGGTTTCCTATTAAGTTTGTTTTAGTTCTGCAATATACACCATTGGTATCTTAATAGAAATTGTGTTGACTCTATAGATTGCTTTGGGTAGCCTAGATGTTTTAGTGATGTTCTAGTCATGAACATGGTATATGCTTCCACTTATCTTTATCTTCTTCAATTTTCCAAGTATAGGTCTTTTACATCCTTGGTTAAGTTTATTCCTAGGTTGTTTCGGTGTTGTTGTTTTTTAATGTAATTATTAATGGGATTATTTTCTTACTGATAGTTCATTATTGGTGTATAAAAATGCAACCAATTTCTGGATAGCTATTTTGTATTCTGCTATTTTACTGAATTCATTTCTCAGTTCTAGTAGTGTTTTGATGGAATCTTTATGGTTCTCTATACACAGTATCATGTCATCTGTAAATAATGAGTTTTACTTCTACCTTTCCAATTTGGATGCCTTTTCCCCCTTCTTTTGTGATTTTGTTCCCTCTCCCCTTTTAATCTTTATTGTTGAAAGTATTACATAGGTCCTCCTTTTCTCCCCATTAACCTCTTCCAGCCTCTCCTGCCTTCTTCTTGTCTGATCACTGTAGCCAGGACTTCCAATATTATGTTGAATGAGACTGGTGAAAGCCAACATCCCTGTCTTGCTCCTGATCTTAGTTTTTGCCCATTGAGTATGATGTTGGCTCTGGGTTTGTCATATATGGCCTTATTATGTTGAGGTGTGTTTCCTCTATTCCTACTTTGTCAAGAGTTTATATCATAAATGGGTGCAGCCATTATGGAAAACAGTATGGAGTTTCCCCAAAAAATTAAATATGAAGCTGCCATTTTACCCAATGATCCCACTTCTAGGAATATATCATAAGAGACCTGGAACACTAAACAGAAAGAATGTATGCACCTCTATGTTCATAGCAGTGCAATTTACAATAGCTAAGATCTGGAAACAGCCCAAGTGCCCATCAGTAGATGAGTGGATAAAAAAACTATGGTACATTTACAAAATGGAATACTATGCAGCAGTAAAAAAGGAGCACTTACCCTTTGAGACAGCATGGAGGGACCTAGAGAGTATTATGTTAAGCAAAGTAAGCCAGTCAGAGAAAGACAAGTATCACATGATATCACTTACATGTGGAATCTAATGAAAATAGATCCAGAGACATAGAAGCAGGGAACAGACTGGAATCTCAGAGGGAAGGTGGGTGGGAAGAGATCAACCAAAGAACTTGTATGCACATATCCATAACTCATGGACACGGACAATAGGGTGGTGAAGGCCTGGGGAAGGGGTGGAGGCAGGTTAGAAGAGGTTACTGGGGGGAAAAAGGGGACATATGTGATACTTTCAACAATGATTTTTAAAAAAATGTGTGCTGGATTTTATCAAATGCTTTTTCTGCATCTAATATGATCATGTAATTATTATCCTTCATTTTGTTTATGTGGTATATCATGTTTACTGACTTACAGGTAATTGTATGAACCTTGTATCCCTGGACTAAATTCTACTTGATCATGGTGTATGATCTTTTTTAATGTATTGCTGGATCTGGTTTGCTAATATTTTGTTGAGAATTTTAGCATCTATGTTAATCAGGGATATTGGCTTATAATTTTTTTGTTGTAGTGTCTTTATCTGGTTTTGGAATTAGGATAATGTTGGCCTCATAAAATGAGCTTGGGAGTCTTCCATCCTCTTGAATTTTTTGAATTAGTTTGAGAATTATAGGTCTTACTTCTCTTTTGAATTTTGATAAAATTCACCTGTGAAGCCATCCGGTCCAGGACTTTTATTTGTTGGGAGTTTTTTTATTACCTTTGATGGAGTAGGCCCTGTGTTGTCTTTTTAAAAATGTATTTTTATTGACTTCAGAGAAGGGAGAGGGAGAGACAGAAACATCAATAATGAGACAGAATCATTAATTGGCTGTCTCCTACATGCGCCCCACTGGGGATCCAGCTCATAACTTGGGCATGTGCCCTGACTGGGAATTGAACTGTGACTCCTAGTTCATAGGTCAATGCTCAACCACTGAGCCATGCCACCCAGGCTACATAGGATAGGAAAAAGGGGACATATGTGATACTTAAGTGCATCACCTTATTTCTTTTTCAAGGTAATCCCATACTGGATACTATTATTATCCCTATTTTACAGATGCAGAAACCTGCTTTGAGAAACAAATTGCCCAACTAGGTAGTGAGGTCTAAATGTGAGTATAGGCAGGGTTCTGAGGTGGCAGACATGGAATATACAGAACAGTCAGGGCCTACTGGGATAGGAACCAGAGAGGAATTCTCCAGGTAAGAAATGAGCCAACAGGAGAAACAAAGAGTAAGGGTCAGGTGTTGGGGAGCTCAGTATAGGGAAGTGGTTTCCCTGTTCTGAGGCAGACCCCCCCAGCCAGTCAGCTTTGTCCTTTCCAAATTGAGAAGTTGTGGATTCTGGTGCCCTTC